AGGGATAACTTGGGGGGTCGGCCCGACACGACCCATGGCCAGGCCCGTGTTATGCCGCAGGTCGGACCGTGCATCAGGCCAAAGCTATTTATTTAAAAAAATTGACAAAAGACTTCAAATTTTAATTATATACGAATTTTGATGTATAAAATTGCTTATATATACAATAATTAAATAAATTAGTATAATAAAATTTTAAAAAGCTATTTATTTTATTAATGTATTATATACTATATTATTATATAATTATAATTTATATAATTTTATATAAATAATATATATATGTGCCATGTCGTGGGCCATGGGCGGCACGATTTGTTTTACACCTCTAATGGCAGTAGTATTCGTTCGGAAGAAGATTGATTGTTGGAGGAAGAGAAACCATCATTTGAGTTAGGGTTTTTTCTTGGATTGCCTCCGTTCAACTGCTTATATTTTAGGGAAGAGGTTCATTGGAACCTGGATTCAATAGTATTAAGGTGTGTGTGCAATGGGGCTACTGTTATTGTTTGCTAGATATCTAAACGACAAGTATCCTTATATACGATGAGAGGCATTTTGCCCAACAGTGATTTTTCTACAAATTTTTTGTAATTTTTCCAGTAGATATTTATATTGTATATAATTTCTATTATATTTCTTCACTCTCTATGTTTTTCTATGATTTTTTATATCAGTCTCGAATTTATGTTCTTTGTTTTCTGCAATTTCTAGTTTTATGCAATTTTAGTTTTTTTTTGTAATTTTCTGTTTTTTTTTTCAAATTTTTATGTAATTTCTATTAATTCTATGCATTGTTGTGTTTTTTGTTTATTTTCTATTTTATTTCCTCCAATTTCTATTATTTTTGTGTAATTTTCATTATTTTATCTAAATGGGTTGGGTTGGGTTCAAGTGGGTTTGGGTTGAACCCAACCCATTTAATTCTATCTAATTGGGTCATTATTGGGTTGGCGGGTTAGATGGATTGGGTTGAAACTCAACCCAAACCGAACCAAACCCAACCCGCCCAATTGCCACCTCTAGGGACTAGGGACATTGCATGTTAGACGGATTTGATGACATGACTTAAGGCATGCATGAAGGAATCCAGATCAAGTAGGCACATCATTGTAGTAGAGTGAATGAGCACACATTAAATATTCTACATTTGTATCAAAAGTTCCATGTTAGTCTTAGTCAAACAAAGGCTCCACACTCTCATTGTCACTTTTAAGGTAGAAATTGATTTTTATACTATTAAAATTAATGCTATAGATTTAATTAGTAGAATTTAACGATGTGGAACAAAAATTCCTTAAATGTAGGATGTAATGAGAGAATGATTTAATACCTTATGTATGAGACTTAATGAAAAAGAATTGGAAAGTGGTTTCATTTTAATTGGTTTAAAATTTTATATCCCATTTCGGTCATTAATAAAAATAATTTTCATCTATCATAAATGTGCCCAAAATTTTTTACAATTTTTCTTTATTTTTTATATTTTTCTATTTTATCTACTTTTGAATTTTTATTATTTAATTATAGCATTATGGGTTGGCCAATTTGACCCAAAATGGTTGAACTTTTTACCACTTCCTAGACAAAAATACGGTTTTTATTTTTGGGGTTGATATTAAAAATATAAATTTTTATACTATTAAAATTACTATGTATTGATTTAATCAGCAGAATTTAGTAATAAAAAATAAAAATGCCTTAAATATATAATTCAATGAGGGAGAATGGGAATTAATACTTTAATAATAGCATTTAAATTAAATTTTGCCCTCATAATAAAGGGGACCATATTTTGAAAAAAAGGGTATTTTAGTTAAGAAAAATCCATAAACCCAAAGACCCTATTTGTACTTTTATATATCCAAAACACAAATCATATGCAAACTATAAATTAAATAATCAGTTATATTTTATCTAGTTTTTATTTCTATATATAAATCACCAAAAAATCAAGTCAAGTAATCAACTAATTGAGTTAAATACGTAAACCATTAATTTGATATTATTTTATTTAATTTTAATTTGTAATTAATAATATTTGTATATAATTAGATACACAAAATTAGAATGACAAAATATTCACAAGTCCAAGACATAAATCGTATTCATCTTCAAAATTTCAAATCCACCCATTGAATTTTAAATACTAAAATAAAAGCTTTCTATATTAAATATTTTTTATATAAATTACTCATAATTAAGTCACATGGTAATGACTTTCTACAAATTACTACACTTGTTAAAAACTTCAACAATAATATATTTTTAAAATCAAATTATTAAGTAGTATTTAAAGAAAACCATTAGTAGGGGTGCTCACGGTTCGGATAGGTTCGGTTTTTACATTCAACCGAATCGATACAACCGGTTAACCAGTCACCGGTGGACTGGTTAACCACGGTTCAGTTTTTCAGTTTTCTAATGCCCTTAAAATAATAAAAAAAAAGAAAAACTGAGAGGCGAATCAGTTGGAGGGCAGAGCGTCAAAGGCTAGAGAGAGAGAGAGAGAGAGTTCTGAGAGACTGAGAGGCGAGGGAGAGAGTTCAGAGAGAGAGAGGGAGTATGAGAGAGTGAGAGTCCAAGAGAGAGGAAAAGAAAAAAAGTGTCGAACAGACGGACCTGTCTCAGAGAGATTGAGAGGCCAACATGTGTCAGTCTGTTAGATGACTCTGACTGGCAGCCAGAGTGCCGGACTGGTGAACTTATCTCAGAAGGCTAGCGAACTGTTGAATGCTTTTATTTGATTTTTTTAAATAAAATAAAATATTAATATATATAATATTATATAAAAATATATATCGGTCGGTTCGATTAACCGCAGGTTTTTTAAATGGTTAACCAAAACCAAGCTGAAACTTTCAGTTTTTTGGAAACATCGAACCGAACGGTTCGGTTAACCGATTTTTCAATTCAATTTCGATCAGTTTGGTTTTTCGGTTTTTTTTTTTTTTTGCTCACCCTAACCATTAGTCTTGATTTAAAATATAATTTAGATACATGGGAAATAAAGATAGAGCAAGTGGGCAACTACAAATCCATTACTCCAACTCCAAGATACAAATCATATCTATTCTTCAAAAAAAAAAAAAATCATATACAAGCAAGATTCAAGTATCAATCTAAACTCATGATACACCAAAAACGAGGAATTAGGACATATGACCCCTTTTGAAGGGTAGTACCCTTCCTAGAGAGAATTCACATGAATTGCTCTTCACAGAGCGTGGTGCCTCACCGACCTCACAGCTACATCCCACGGGAATATCTTCTCATGAATAATAAATACTATGGTTTTTAAAACTGAATTGGCGATCGAACCGGTCAGGGGTCCGATTATCAGTTCAAACGGCTGGCCCGTTATGACAAAAAATATAAAAAATTGAAAAACGGTCAAAACCATTCCAACAATTCGAATGGTTAACTGACTGGTTCAGTGGTTTGCTGACCAAAATCAACGGTTTTAGAAAACGGAACCAGTCAGGTGACCGATTCCCAGTTTTTCCGGTCCAACCATCTGATCCGGTCCAACCATCCGGTTTGGTCCAGTTTTAAAAACCATGATAAATACAAATACCCATCTCCCTATGAATCATAAATACAGATATGGAAGATATTCTGATGTACAACCAAAACATGCTGTGAGGCACACTCCTTGAGGAGCAAATCCCAATTCTACATCTATACCTCACAAATGCCCTGAATCATATCCCACTCATGTATTGAAATCATCTCCCACTGACAATTTCGAGAGATGTTCCTAATGCACGCTGAGATGTGCATGTAGGGCGCCCTATGTGGGGTGCAGATGTGATCTCTCCTATAGATCTCGCCTCAATCCTTATAACTTACAACAATTTAATTGAAGACTATTGCCCCTTTTAAATCCACAATATGCATATTGATACTTAGAACCTTGTATACAAGTATGAAACTAATGAATTTTCAAGATTAAAAATAATTATTTTGTATTTATTTGTATATCTATGCATTACCAAAAATTTGAAAAAATATTTTTAATTTTTTTAACATAAATTTTTAATGGATCCAAGGATATAATAAATCATCCGTAAATTGACATTTTAATTCTCCCCTACCATTGGATCATGCAAAACATACAATTTTTTTTTTAATATATACTCAACGGGATTTGGCCAGCCATACATAACTTTTCCTCTAGTTGCATCCAAAGCCACTTGGAAGAAATAAACCTCTTATTTTAATTGTTTTTGTTTGTTCCTTTTTAGATCTTATATCCTTGGTTCAAAGTATCATTGCATCAATAACTCGATACTGAAAAATTGCACATGGAAAGTTTTTATCAATCAAAATTTTGTCAATTTTTTTTTTGTTTCTCTGATTCAAGAAATTGTCAGAGGTAATTTATTTATTTCCTAGGGTGTTTAATCTCACCCCACCAAGTTCCAAAGCAAAAAGAGGGTTAAAACATCCTCCTTAAAAATTCCAGCACCATGCATCAATGGTAATACACATGCAATATACGCCAATAAACATTGATACTCTGTTGATGCACATAACATTGACATCAATGCTCTACCAATATTTGCCGAATTTTTATAATGATAATTCCAAAAACTAGCAGATATCAGACCATATGGAAACTTTAAACCTTGCTATCATTGAAAAGCAAAAAATAACAAGTGGTCAGCTTGTTTTTAACTCTATCTATATATGTATATGTAGGATTGTATGTTCATTCAGAAAATTTCAGTCCGTTAGGGACCCTGCCAAATGGTAAAATAAAGCCATTTTATGGTCCCATTAGGGAAACATTCCACATAAGGTGATATATAATGCTGACATGGACTGGGCAATGAACACAAGCACTATCCCAACTGTTCTCACCTGATCAACTGCCACAGCTGCTTGGTCTTCCCTACATAACTGATATAGTAGAGGTCCTCTTGTAAGGATCTCTAATTGATCAAACAGAAAAGAATATGATGGACAGTAATTGCCCACAAACTACCATAAAAAAAGAGTAAAATAGAGAGAAAAAGAAAATTCAATGCAAGGAATTAAATCTGTTCAATCTGATTTATCCATCTCATCTATGTCTAGCTCCTGCTTCTTCTCAGACTGAACAAATTAACTTGAAAGGAATTAAATCTGTTCAATCTGATTTATCCTTCTCATCTATCTCTAGCTCCTGCTTCTTCTCAGGCTGAGCAATTAACTTGAATGTCCATAATCCTAACAGAGTTGCCTCAATTGGAGCAAGCCAGTACACATATAAATGCTCCTTGGTCATGTAATCTCCTCGAGCATAAGCCCATCCCATGGCCTATCCAATCCAACACATTAGAATCAGTCTTCAATTTGGTAGATTGTAGTTTACAACATGTAAAATGAAAAAAAAAATATTAGCAAATAATTGGTGTTTGGGAGAGTGCATACAGAAGCCGGGTTCATGCATCCACCAGTCAGATCAGAACCCAGTATATGAAGAGCTAGCTTGGATAGACTTGAAGTCCATGTTCTCAAGAAGAAACTGTCAGGGCTACTCCGAGCTGCCCCAAGTGAGATAACAATAATTGTGAATGTAAGACACCCTTCGGTCAATGCACCTTTGTGAATATCGACATTCAGGCGAGGTCCATGGCCTATTTCAGGAAAGGTCCAAAGGATAAGTTGAACTCCAATAATAGATCCAATTACCTGAAATTTAAATCCAAATTTTAGTTCATTGATTGATATTGAATAATAAAATTTGAGGCAGAATATCATTAGTGACTGAAATGATGAAAGAATTCGGACAGACTTGCAACAATAGATCATTATCAGTTTATGCCCTTTTCTCCTTGCCTTATAAGAATGATACAAAGAGATTCACTCATTAAAAAAATGATACAAAGAGATTCATGTTTGGAATTCGGATATCTTGGAATTCTGGTCATATTAGTAAAAGCTCAAGGTACTCCCAAAAGGAGTGTTTCATCAAGTAATAGGTACCTTTCACTTGAGAAAATAGGTAAATTGGTGGCACTACCAGAAAGTTAATGCTTTCTCATGCACTATAATGGAGTCTTCATGATTGAATCAGTTGATTCTGATTGATAATTTTTGCAGAATATAAAAATTGGGTCTGGACTGTCCTCACTGATGTCTGGTAGTTGGTTAGTTTACAGGATATAAAAATCAGTATTTTTGAAATAAAATTTTCCAATGTAGTACATTAACAAGTTTGGGCCTATATATGATAAAAGTAGCTCTGAGTTCCAGGCCATTACTATAAGACCTATTCAATTTAAAATTATAAAATTGAGTTTTGGAAAGGATGGATAAATATATATAGATATAGAATGTTTCATCTGTCCATGATGCAACAAGTCAAATCATCCTAGGTATCAAAACGATCATAATCAACAATTAAAATTTGAGAGTAATTTTTTTGAAGGTAAAATAAATTTATTAAAGAGAAAAAAGAATTAAATATTCCATGACAAAATGATAAATATAATAAACCTAACACCTAGTGGGAAAAAAGATGAAGTGTGTTAAGCAGCAAAACCTAATCTTGCTTTGCTAGATTAGAAGCCCAACTGAAAGCCTTGTGTCATTTGTTTGTGGTCCATGGCACATGTGCCTGGAGCAGAGATTCTACAATAACATTCTTTCCTCCCAAAAGAATAAACGGAAATTTATTATTAGCAATACCAACCGATAGAACCCAATTCAACAACTAACTCAACCTGATAAAGCTAGTAAAATGAATACCAAGAACAAGCACAGTGATAGGTCTTTAACAACAAGAAGAGGATTGATGGATCAATCAAGAAAATGACAACGAAATTAGCTTAAGCCTATGAAATTTGCACTTTAAAAGCCAAACCTAATCCAGGCAATAGAAACCAAAAGAAATTTTTGCTTAAAACCAATCAGAACTGCTTTAAACATAAGAGAGCCAAGTAAGATGCCAACAGAACCGAATTCAGATTCCAACCCAAAATCAAATCCATTTGAAGCAACAAACAACACTAGTAAACCCAACTTATATTTTAACTAGCCAACATACTTCATGTATCAAACAAGAGAAGACAATATTAGATGTTAGCCAAAATAAAAAACAGAAAAGAACAACACTAATATAGTGTTTATACTGAAAACTTCCAATCCTGAAGCTCCATCTTAATTCAGACCAATTTCCCCTCTATTGGCTAGATTGATCAGATGAGAAAACAATAGAAAGGCACAGGTTGGATGGCAATAGGATTAGATATGGCCAAAACTTTTGATAAAATGAGCTGGAATCTCATATTGATGGTCATGGCCAAAATGGGCTTTCCTCAGAAATGGTGTGTGATGATCAGTCAATGCATATCAACACCAAAATTTTCTATACTTATAAATGGGGCATCATATGGTTATTTCAAAGTGAGTAGGGGACTAAGGAAAAGTGACCTGTTATCACCTTATCTTTTTGATTGGAATGGAAAGTCCTATCATCCTACCTTAGTAAAGCCGAAAATAGCAATCAAATTTATGGTGTGAAGTTAGCCAAACATGCACTCTCAAATAACTCAATATTTGCGGATGATTACTACTTCAAAAGCAAAGCTACAAAAAAGAAAATAGAGGCATTGAAAACTCTATTCTATGATTTTGAAACAATTTTGGGTCAACGGATTAATTACCAATATTCAAATATCCTTTTCAGATCAAACATTAATAGAAGAAATAAAATGCTCTTGGTGAGACTGCAAAACATCAGGTCTATAAAAGATCATGAAAAATATCTTGGAGTTAAGCTCTGGATAGGCAAAATAGAAATAAAATCATACAATTATATAGTGGAGAAGATACAAAATAGAATGGAAACAGAAGAAAACTTCTATCACAGGCAGGGAGGACTACTCTAATCAAATCAGTAGTTTGAGCCATCCCACTGTACACTGGCTACCTCTATCTTGCCCAAAACAGTATGCAAAAAAAATTGAAGAGACTCAAAGAAGATTTTGGTGGAAAGGGAGCATTGAAAAATGAAAATTATATACTATCTCATAGAGAAAAATATGCCAAAATAAGTCAATGGGAGGACTGGGCATCAGATGGGTAGAGGAAATGAATAAAGCCATGTTTGCAAGTCCGGTGTGGAGGCTTCTAAGTAACCCAAAAAGCTGGTGGGCAACAATTATAAGAACAAAATATTTCAAGAGATATAGTCCACATTATACAAAATGCTCTGAATGGGGAAGAAGGCTGTTAGAAGCTATGTCAGTAATGAAGCCATATCTTTTGTTGGAAATTAAAGATGGAAACCAAATACATGTGCAGCGTGAAACATGTACAACATAAGTTACTTCACACTTTGGAGCTGAAACAGGAGAGGGAGAACAAGAAGGAACTAACAAAAAAGAAATTATCAGAGTGAACACTGATGGCAGATGGAACAGGAGCAAGACCAAAAGTTCATTCACTGAAAGTTGTATAGAAGCACCCAATAAACAGAGATCTTGAGAATGATCAATTAATTTGGAAGCCCAGTAAATCTGGACTCTTTTCAGTTAAATCAGCCTCTCTGGAGCATCTATGGCAACAGCCATCTACGTTTAGGAAAAGTTGCAATTGGAATATGCTATGGCCGTTGAAGATTCCACCTAAATATCAATTATTAATGTGGAAGTTACTTTGAATTGTCTACCCACAGGATAGATATCAAAAGAGAAACAAATCCTCTCAAGGGCTTCATGCACATTTTGGGATCAAGATGATAGTAATTAAGAGAATATATTTATATATTGTGCTTTTGCAGGTTTTATCTGGCTGTTCAATACAGATTGATACAGAATGGTCCCGATCAATCAGGCAATTAATGATTGACTAGATTCTCAGAAAACTGATAGCACACATAAAAGATCCTTACTTGAGAAAATGGAAACCATATGCAGGTGTATCTGGCAAGCAAGAAATAAAAACTTTTCACAAAGGCAGATACTCATCCCATACAGCTTCTCAATCAGGTTGAAGAGCAAATAACTCAGTTTTTTGAACACTCAAAATGATAGAACATACACCAATAGGCTCAACTCCTCCGTCACAAGCAAGATAATTCCTTGATAAATACAAGACCAATGTAGGTGGATCATATAATAGCAATACAAATTAAGCTGGCATTGGTAATTGTATTCACTTTGAAGCAGGTCAACTCATTATGGCAGAAGGAACCAGGATTGCAACAATTGAAAGCAGAGACTCAGAGATTCAAGCCCTCCACAAAGGATTACTAGCAGCCAAATACCACAGGTAGATGACATTTTTCTCCAATCAGATGCAAAGGATATAGTAGAAAGAATCAACAATAACCGGGCTTATAGCCCGTGGCAGGAAATTTTGCTTTCCTATCAAATCTTCGATCTCATAAAGCATTTAGACAATATTATAATTCAGTATATAAGTAGAACTGAAAACCAGATAGCTCATCAGCATCTACTAGGATCTGACTCTTTAATATAATGAATCTTGCTTACAAAAAAAAAAATTGTCATCAAAGGTTACCGAATTCGAATGTCAATCCATTAACCAAACCCAATTCAGATAAATACCAACTAAAAGAAACTCAGAACATGTTGAAATTGGTTTTCAAGCATTCAGAAAACAAAACCATTTAACTCAGTATAAGCATAAGACCAACTACTTACCTGAGTAGGAATTCTTACACCAACAGATAACAAAAACCTGCCGAAACTCCCAGAAATGGCACCGGGCAACACTGTGAGAGGATTGTAAGCCGCACCTCTACTAATCCTCCCCAACGATGCAAAAACAAACATGGTCAAAACGGCTAAGCAACCCCTAATGATTTCTCCTCTGGGTTCAGACCCAAACCCCAGAATCTTGTATACAAAGATCTTTAAGAGAGCTCCTGACCATACCCACATGAAGGAAAGGACGAAATCCCACAAAATCAGTGGGTTTCCTGCCATGAATGATATGGGTTTTGTCCCTGCTTTCTGAGATTCTTCCTTATTTCGCTGCATAATTTGCAGCTGAAGAAGACGAAGAGGAAAGAAGAGGAGGAGGAAGAAGAGGAGGAGGAAGAAGGGGAGGAGGAGGGGGAAGATTGTATGCGGAGGGATTTGAGGCTGACATATTTATTCCCTTGTTGATACTGACATTTGGGAAAAATGGTCAAACGTTACGCGATTCTGAGAATGCAGAAGAACGTTAATAGTAGAGAGGGTAACTTGGTCATTTAGAGAGGTAAGATGTTGCTTATCGTTGTTTCCATGCGAGTGCCTCTCGACCCTGAGAGAGCCGACGACATTTTCCACGGTTCCGCCCCACCATGAAGCTTACGGGAAGCTGCAATGGTGATGTTAGTTGGGTGGTCCCACAACGGTCGTACCAAGTAGAGTTTTGCGGAGCTCCAAGGACTCTGTACGGTGAATTGCTACTAATAAGAAACAGAGGGGCTCCCCACTGATTTGAAAGACTGTAAGTATAGTTACTAACGAGAAACAAAGTGGAGCAAAGGATAACTGTGACCCAGATTGTCAAAGTGGAACACCTTATTCCGAGACCGAAATCTGAAGAAAATCAAACCATAATAATAGATTGGTGGAGGGTTCTACGCAGGCCGGTAGAAAAAAAAAAATCCACCCTCCTCTTAGAAAAATGTAGTTTTCAATTATTATGTACGTGGAAAAACAGGAATGAAGCATTCTTCAACAATGGTCCATTCAAAGTTCAAACCGCCGGAATAGAAAGGAAGTTAGAGAATAGTCTTAAAAAGGGAATGAAATGGGACCCTCCAAAGAGACTCTCAAAATCGCGGAAGGTCCAGGTCCCACAGGTAAAAATTAAGCGGAAATGAGGGAGGGCTGTTCAGAAATCCATGATCTTATCTTAGACTAGACTGACTATAGACATCACAATTGAAGGAGACTCTATGTTGAATGGAATGCGCAAGATGCATGGAAATGTAAGGGAAGTGCATAAAAATCATGGGAGAAATGAACGCCATAATCAAGTATCATCACACGCATCGCATAGGGAAGGAATCGAGCAGAAAACTGCTTAGCAACAAAGGTCACCAAGGCGAATTACATTTTACCATGTTTCGATCCAAGGAGCTGGATTACATCATTCTCACAGATTCAATAGGTGTTTCGTTGTTGCGCACAATTCGTATATGTTATGCATGGCTTTCGCTTTCGTTTATTGAATAAACGTTTGAAATTGATTTGTCTTTAAAATCGAAAAAAAGTAATTGATAAACCTTTTTTGTTGGATTTATTAACAATTAGATACATTAGCGGAATATTAAATAAACGCTTACATTGACAAAACATGTGGCTATATAAATTAACTTTTATATACAAGCTAAAATATAATCATGTGGCCCCACCAAGAAGTCACTTCATCTAACTCAAGGTGGGGTCATGGCAACAAATCAAGGGCTTCGATTTAGTTGTTTTGGCACAGGGCAATTTGACAGGTGGCAAGTTGTGCTTGCTTTGTTGCAATTCTTGCATTAATATTAAAAGACTTGATCTACTCCCAAGACTGTCCCAACGAGCGGTTATGATTGTACACGGGGAACATCTCTCCATGAATGTATCACTACAATTAGGGTTGTAAACGGATTGGACTTTGGTTCTAATTATTAAAAATTTGCATCCAATCTGATCCGAAATCTTATTGGATTTGATTTTGAATCCTAAAGGACTTGAATTGAATTCGGATTTAATATGATTTCACTTTAATTTTTTAAAATACAAAAAATTAAAAATTAATTACTTTTTAATTTTTATATAATAAATTATTGTAATTATAACATACTGAATTTATTATATATATAAATTCATATATTATATAATATAATATAATGTATTTTTAATAATTTTAAATATGATTATATAATTTATATATATATATTAAAATTAATAAATATTATAATATAATTGAATTTAGAGTTTAATCAGATTGGACAGAGTCAAATCCAAATCCGGTCCAATTATTAATTGGATGCAAATTGCGAAATCTGAATATAATCCAATTATGTAAACACATCATATGAATGTTGGATAATCACATTGTGAAAACCCTTAAAAGGTTTATTATAATTCGTTAAAATACCTCCATTTTTTCAACTTTCTCTTAAACTTACCATGACTTTTGATATATAAAGAGATCCTCCACATTTGTAATTAAAAAGATAAATGGTGTTTGCAAAATTACAATAATGCTCTTTATTCAACTTCATTTTTTTGAACCAAAAACTTTGAAGTATGTACATCTATTCAATCAAATTGAGATTAGTTGATGGATGTTAATTTTGTCATTTAAAAATAAAAATGGTACATGTGGACTACAAAAATATATTATTTTCAACTTTTATATATAAATTAATGTAAATAAAACATACTGAATTTATTATATATATAATTTAGAAATACATTTTTTATAATTTTAAATATAATTGTATATATTTTATATATTAAAATCAATAAATATTATAATATAATAAGATTTAGGTTTTAATTGGATATATTAGTCAAATCCGAATCCAATCTGATGATGAAGGGGAATTTGGCCCGACCTCATGACAGGGAGACACGTGGACGTGATTCGGCACATGCGACAACTCGACATGGTCAGACTGGCACATGGACGAGACGTGGCACAAGTGACAGCTCAGCATGACCAGTTCGTTACAAGGTGACCTCGGGTACCTTGATACCCCGAACTAAGGGTATCCCGAACTAAGATCGTCTTAGCGCCAAATCACGACCAGGATAACGAAACCAAGTTTGTTACAGATCGAGCCCGGATAGATGAACCACCTCGGTCAGGACTACTTTGGGACAAGTATACCTCGGCACAAGATCGCACCGGGATCACCTCGGTCCAAGGGCACTTCGGCATTCATGTCAGGACGGACTTAAGGAGCACGAGCTCAAGAAGCTCGCCACCAATCAACTCGCCATCAAACAGCCCGGTAAACTACAGGCAACTCGCCTACCGTTCAGACCTCCACATGGCAACCTCGAGGAGCACACCTCCGTACTCTGTATCCCACAGGACTGTACTTTGTAACAGTCACATTAGTTCACCAACTCCCCGGTTCAAACGGGAAGGGACAATCTTACCGGTTGATGGCATTTTTCTCACCTAACACGCAAGCGAGTCCCGTCACAGCAGGGATCCAATAACCGTTCCACCAACCCGCATGGACTCCAGTATATAAAGACTCCGCCCCCCAGGGGCAAAGGGACATTCTATTTTATTGTTGTGTGTGTAATCTTCGCTCCCTAGCTCTCTCATTGTTATCATCTTCAAGCTCTCTACTATCCCTGTGTTCTAACTTATCCATCGGAGTGTCCCCGCCGGGTGACCCACCCCGGGATCTCTGACTCCTCTCTTACAGACTACCCAGTTTACGTCGTTGCTGGCAGTTAGATCATCTCCAGCAGGGAGCAGCCGGATTACACCGCATCATTTGACACCGTCTGTGGAAAATTGTTACCTGGCAGCAACGATTCCAAACAAAAATAAAGGAGCAAACGATGCTCCAAGCCACACAACAGCAGAAAACGGTGCTGCAACTGCAGCATCTATGCCAAACATATACGTAATCTCTCTCTAATGCTACATCACTCCTATACTTTTGGATGATTTGTTGTAATGAATTACCCGAGGGTTCTTTCAAAAAAAAAACCCTCAACTCAACCTAAGTCAATAATTTAATCGTTATCAAAATTAATTATATGAAGCAAATTTGAATTTAACAGATTTACATTTAAATGGAATTAGGAGTATATTTGATTTTGAATTTGAATTTCCTTAAGCTCAGTTTGGAAGGAGTACAAATGCAAATATGTAGAGTATAAAGCCTTATATTTTATATTATTTTGTATGTATTTGCACTATACATATTTGCATTTGTACTCCTTCAAAACTGAGCCTTTGTGTTTCTCTTTGTTTTCTTTGTTTGTACCTCTCATTTTCCTTTTGCTTGCACTGGTTTCTCTATTCTCCTTCGGTTTTCTTTGTCTTGGTTGTGTGTTGTAGGTATTCGAGTGGGTCTGTTAGTGCTTGTTTTCTTTGAGCTCGAAGGTGGTGCTATCGCTACTAAGCAGATTGAAAACAAGCATAAGGTGAAAGCAAGATTGTTAAGGGGGGCAGGGTAGTTTTTTTTTTTTTTATGGCAAAATGATATGTAATAAATTGTTAAATTGTGATGGGGTCACAGAAATTGTCAACAATCTCTAGAAAAATATACAAGATTACAATGCCAGATATATCCTGGTAGGAGTGCAACTTAGGCAGGTCCAACCTAAGCCCAACTCGACCCCACCCGAAATTTTCCACGGGTTGGGCCTGAGTCAGAAAACTCGGGGTCAACCTAAACTTGGATAGGGCTTGGGTTGAGGCCTCAGGCCAACCCAACCCAATCCTCGGCTCAACCCAACCCAAGCCTCGGCTCAATCCAACCTGAGCCCGTCTGAAAACATCTATACATGTGTATTATATTTATGTAAAAATATATATATTTTTTCTAATCATGTAATCATGTATATGTACATTTAATAAATGAAATTTGTACATATTTTTAATTAATTATACTCTTAAGTTAGGCCATAAATCTCAATAAAAGATGATTACATAAAAATGTATATATATAAATTCTTTCAAACTTGACCAACCCACCCAATTAACCAGAGCCCGACTCCGATCCCAACCGGAGTTGTGTTGGGTTAAGCTCGGATTGGGTTTAAATTGATAAACTTGGGCCAGGCTCAAGCCCAAGGTTTACACCTTTAGAGTTAGGCCTAAGTTGACCTTCAACCCGAGTTACACCCTTATATCCAAGCAGGAGATATATTTCAGATTAATTTCGAAAGAGAAAGGAACATCAAGGAAGTGGTAGAGAAAACAACCATGGTTTGATAAAGACTATCCCCTCCTCATGAAGTGTTAGGTTTTGATTTCATGGTCCATGAGAGTTAAATTTACTCACACACTTCATGAGGGTAATAGATATATTGATTTCTTGGTCAATATTGACTTACTTGAAAGAGATTTCGGGTGTTTAATTCAACTCAAGATTTTCAAATTGACGAATACAGAACCCTGCACGAAGATCCCTGTTTTGCAAATTGACTTATAACTTGTACTTTTGTTGTTTATTTTCTATTGTTATGTTTTTGATTAATCTTTTGGGCAGGGTTGAGAGGGTAAGGAGGTGTGCTTCTATTTTGGATTTTGCGCAAGACGGGATACATCTTCCCCTGTATTGTTTCACACTTTCCTTTTGGGCCATGTTTTTTTCGGCAACACATTTACCTGGGTAAACGCTTAATCTTTTCGGCAACATCCACTTTCCTGGGTAAATTGTTATTTTTTCATCTTTTTCCAATTTTAC